GCGACGTGCTGACCTCCCGTCAAAAGAGTCCTACCGTCTGTAAAATGATCAATGAAACTGAGAAATCAGCCCTATGCTAACAAAAGTGGGAGCGAAGAGTGAAAAAAATAATCACCCATTTTGTTTACCGCGCGGTGTCGCTTGGAACCTTTCGAACACAAGACGAACAGCTGTCGTGATGGCGGAAATTCTACGAGTATTATAGGGGATGGCTGGCAACAGGCCGGTACTGTAATATTACGGACCACAACCCCATAAAGGACAAGCGTCTGTCAGATGGCTTCAACAGCGAAAGAAAAATAAAACACACCTGCTTTATTAAACTCATTTGCTTTCCATACATGCGTTGCACTTTACAAACCACGTGACATATTTCAGTTTCAGTAGAAAGAGATGGAGAAATGACTACGAGCTCCCCTCAACTTGACTGGTATGAAAATAAACAGACAAGAGAGACGAAAAACAAAGAACAATTGGTCAATTAAATAAAAATAATAGGAGAATGCAGAAAGGAAGAAATAACGGACTAAAAGTAACAGCAGAGAAATGAAATACAAAGAGGAGTTCAGAACGAAGTTAGAAATCATAAGAGAGAGTAAGAAAGAGAGATTCTGTTAGCGGTAACAAAGAGAGGTTGCCCTGAAATCTGATTGGCTCACTGATCCGTTATGCCTATCGAAATGAGAGCTAACGAAAATCTTTTGCAAACTTGCCAAAATTGTAATTACTGGAGTTCTTGATGTTTTAGAATCAACTTACCACAATTTTATTGAAATCGTGATATGTATTACATTTAAATTACTCCATCTTGCGAGATTTCATTCATGCAGCTTTTAATTTTGTTAGGTATGCAGGTAGGGTATATGAAATTTTCATTATATTGACAGTCACACTGCATTGCAAGATTTTGAAGGTTAATTTTATGAAAGAGAGTCAGAAATATCCTTCTTTTCGCCCACATGCGATTGCTCTCCTTCCCAATCATTAGCAACAATAGTCACAGTTTTACGAATAAGTAACTCAGATCAAGAACTTTATCAAGAAAATCGTGCAATTTAAAATGGGAATAAAGATTCAAATCACATCCAACATTTCTATTGCAATATTCAGACATCAATGAAGGGGATGCTTTATTGCCACTGCTTTTCAACTCTGTTTAGAATATGCCAATAGGAAGGTCCAGGAAAACGAGGTGGGACTGAAATTAAATGTTACACATCAGCTGCTGCTCTATGCTGCTGATGTGAATCTGCTGGTAGATAACATAGATACCATACAGAAAAACAGAAACTTTAACTGATATTAATAAGGAGGTTGGTCCTTTGGTCTGGTCAAGTGGATTTGTGGTGGACTAAGTGGCGCTGAGGCAGGTTTTCTCCGAGTACTTCAGTTTCCTCTGCCAATCTTCATTCCACCAATTGCTCCACAATCACACTCACCTATCATCTGGTGCTGGTACAATAGGCCAGAGGTGGCCGCAATACAAGAGACTTAGTCCCACCCCACTAGCAATAAAAAAAAAGGGAGGTTGGTTTAGAAATATACGCAGAGGAATTAAAGTGGGAGGGAGATTTAGTAAATAGGACACAAATTGAAGTAAAACAAGTGTAACGGATGTAATAGGTTTCTTTTTATATCACTAGGTAGCAGTATATTCCAGCGTCACGACAGTCTAGGTAGCAGTTGCGCATGTTCATGTTCAGAGCATACTACCGAAAAGCAGAGTCCTCTTTTGCTTTTTTATGGGCGAAGGGCTATTGCAAATAATGTTCATGAAGAAATATTTCCTCTTTACGGTGCGAAGTGTTTGTCGCATAAAGCGATTCACAGCTGGGCGGCAAATATTTCTATGATGACGAAGAGGTTGAAACGGAGGTGCAAAAGTGGTTGAGGCAACAGTCAAAAGACTTCAATATTGCGGGTTTCGACGCAACAAGAAGCTGAACGCAACCTCGCGCCTAAAACATCTGTCCACAGAATGTTATGTAAAAAGAGCACATCTGCAGTGTGTTGATGCCGTAAACATTCCAAAAATTCCAGTCGTAGAGGAGGATCGTCAGGAAACAGGCGATCACTCTGCGAGCACTGATGCGAATGCAACTGATCGTCATGAAATACTTCGAGGACCCTCGGTTGGGGTAGTGTCAATTCTCGTATGATATTGCGTGAGGTTCACGGCCCTCATTTCGCAGATGAAATTATGGCATTTTCATTTGCTCGCGCTCGTAGAGTCCGTGGGTGACCTATATTCATGTACGCTGTTCATGTTGCACTTCCAGTCTCACGGACACGCTGCTGCAATCGTCGAAACTCATTAGAGTCTGGATGAGGTCGACCGTGATAATGTAGCGCGTAGTGCTTTGTGGCAGTAGCAGCTTCACTATTACAGGTACCAGGCGTTAAGAGCATGTCCTGTGCACTGCGTGTCGTGAGCACACCTATTGTTTTTCTTATTGCTAGTGGGGTGGCACTAAGTCCCTTGTACTGCGGCCACTTCTGGCCTATTGTACCAGCCCCAGATGATAGGCGAGGGTGATTGTGGAGCAATTGGTGAAATGAAGATTGGCAGGGAAAACCGAAGTACTCGGAGAAAACCTGCCCCAGCGCCACTTTGTCCACCACAAATCCCACTTGACCAGACCCGGGATCGAACGCGGTCCGCCGCGGTTGGAAGCCAGCGACTAACCGCTTGAGCTATGGCGCGGCCTGTGAGTACACCTAACAACACGTTGTGTATGGTTGTGACAAATGCTACTACTGAGAAGTATTTTACCCCATTTGACGGTGACATTTATGTCGAAAATTAAGCATCTCGGGATATAAGTTGTGTAATATTTTCAATTTCTTTTTAACAAAGAATCACGTACGTCTGTGCACTAACTTAGTTTCATCATGTATATTTGTTATAAGTGTCAGAATATCCATATAACATTTCAGGCAAAATTGCATGCAACAGACTGTAGGAGAGAGAGAAAGGACAAGGGACGCAGCTACAGACGCCATTCGAGTTTCTCTGCTCCTACTGGAAGAAGCCTGGGACTGGGAAGTTCATTTCCTACTCCACCCCACTCTCAGTAAGTCTCAGTAAGTTACCCCCATCCTCGTGTGACCTATCTGGGTCTCGCATCTTTTATACCAAACGTTTTACTTTGCCCCCTTTTTAACGCTTTAAAACTGTAGAACCAAAAGCGTTAATGTTATACCATAGATACGACAGCCTGCTCAAGATTTATGGTAGAGAAATTTTAATGCAAGACTCTCTCTCTCTCTGCTCGAAGTAAACTACTGTACAGAAAGGGCACGCCGAACTGCAACAGAATAATGGGTATTCTTATGAATCAGTATTGTACTGGTATGTGGTTTCATGAAAATATTACTTCATGAATGTAAGTCCAGAGAGATAAAACTCTACGTAGCCAAAGATTTTGATTTACAGTTAATGTCTTGCGAAACACATCAGAACTAATCATAAATGCTGTCACAATTTAGTGGCTAAACACGGAGTTTGGGATGCTAGTAGAATTTACTGAACTCTCAGAAAACGTAACTAGAAGTAATCAAAGTGTCATCGGTAATCCACGCACTAGAGTTCTCAATTCTGCACACGTTAAGTTTGTCTCAGTGTGCTATGTCTTCAGCAGTGGTTGCCTGATGACAGATCCAACAATGGACACTGTTTTGCTCCCGTGCTCACGTCCTTATCGGTTGGTGACTGCCTCGTACCTAACCCATTGCTTCAGATGTGTCCTTACATTCTTGTGTACGTCTCACTCATATAGCATATTATCGAAAATTCTTCCTTGTGCACTATAAACAAGTTCTTTGTCAGTACAGGCTTTGCAAAAGAGATCATGTCTCTCTTACTTATCTTATGCTACAACGGCAGCTTATTCGCTTGCAAAGTCGTAAGCTTGACCGCCGCCAAGTTTATTATACATAAATGTAAGAACCTCTGGTTGGGTGGACCTCAGAGCCGGTCTGAATTGCATGGAGAAGAGAAAATTTTTGTCCCCATCTGGACTTGAACTCCTACCTCTTGGTCATCTAACCCGTAGTCAGTCGCTATACCGACTACACTATCCTGGCTTATCAACAGGGCCCGGATTTTGAGGACATGTCATCTTTTTTTCCTTGTATCCTATGCGATGCTCTTAAATATATAAATCTCGGATATGAGCTGCTGGTTACAGAAATATAAATTTTTTAGGTATTTGTAGTCATTTTTTTACATTTTTAGGTTTAAGGTCATTTTTACATTTGAGGGGTAATTTTTTGGACTTTTAAGGGTATTTCTTGTCATTTTTGGCCATTTTAGGGAATTTTTCTTCATAGGTTTTTTGAAATGTGAATAACATGGAAGTAAAGTGTTCTTTCTTTTCTCTTTTAGGTCATTTTTCTCGTTTTTTTCGGTCATTTTATAGGTCTTTTTTTAATATTTTCAGGTCATGAAAATACGGGCCCTGCACATTACATTTTTGGGTCATATTTTAGGTCATTCTTCTGGATTTTTTCGGTCATTTTATAGGTCATTTTTTAAATATTTTCAGATCATCAAAATTCGGGCCCTGCTTATCAAACAATATAGGCCTTGTGTAATATTCGCGAGGAGCCCTGAGGGACAGCAGGAAAGAATAATATTATAGATAAAATTTTAAAGATGAATTTGACATTCAAAGCTGTTAAAATTATTAGAAGTGGATATAATGGATTGAACATATGAAGGTGAGCACTAGAATTAATTTTAAAGGTATGAGCCCTTAGGAACGGCCCAGTATAAAATGATCCTTCCAAGACCTGGAAGATATAAAGAAGTTGGAAAATAGCTGGAAAGAAATCGAATACGAATCATTATAAGAGAGCAGAGAAGAGAATATCTCTGTCTGTTGATCTGTATGAAATGGCGACCATACCAAGAGAAGAGGAAGAAGGAGAAAAAAAGCCCTAAAAGTTTTAAAAATATTGTTGCGAAATAAAATGAGGGACGTCTGCTTAGTACTCACGTTTCTTCGAAATGGTGCGGCGATATTTTTGACACCTTTTCCACTTGGTTTATTCCTTGGCACATGGAACAGTCTTCAGGAGGGCGAAATGCTTTCGTCAGTTGGTCGGGCATGGAGATAGTGCACTGAAAAGAAAACACACATACGTTTGATATAGGCAGGTGAGTATCGTGGATTCACTTTCAAAAGTAAAATAATAATAATAATAATAATAATAATAATAATAATAAAATAGCTGACTTAAGACACTGAATATGGAGCGGATCCAGCATACAAGAAGATCGGTAACAAACGTGATGGCTGTGCTGATGAAACGGCTATGTCTTTGTCTTTACAAAAACCAACATAGGCTTTAACCATTAGTATACTCTCACAGTTGGGCTCTCAGAGTCTTCGACAGTACGATTCAACAATTCATCTAAAGATTATATAGTTCGGAAGACTGGATTTATTTGAAATTCGGGTACAATCTCTCTTAATTACATTAATACAGCACTATCGCTGATTTACACAATTTACAATTCAACGTTGCACATGCACTAGGATTCTTAGTTTTCACTAGTCGTCTCCTAGCAAAGGATCTCAGCATAGAATCTAGCACTTCAAATCACTTTGAAGCCTTCTTGCCATTTCTTGTTCAATCACCTTGGAATCTCGGACCTCAACTAAAAACTCTCCTGGGCTCTTAACTACACTACACTGTACTACACTGCGCTCTGCACTAATCTAAGCTACAACAGGTCTTCGTTATATAGACTCCTCACGGACAACACACAAAACATACGTCACGTGATTCATAGTCAGCGAGTTCATTAGCGCGCTGACTGTCCCCTAGCAACGAGCTGTAACATTCGTCCACTGCGACACATCTTCCACTGTTGCTGGTTGGAACGTGTTTACCGATCCGTTGCCTAGAAACACTTTGACAAAAACAGTTACAATATTAATTCCTTTCTTTTATTGTTACACTCTATGGTCGTGGGGGAAGTTCCCGATGTTTCGGAGGTACATGTTGCCTCCATCATCAGAGTCGATGTGCCGACAGACGTCACGCATGCCTGGGCCGGTTGTAGTGCATTGAGTCACGCTTTCACAGAAGCTATTGGTATTTTCTGGTGTTATATTCATATCCGAGACTTGATGTCCCCTTTTTACAAGAGGTTTGTCTTCTGGGATGTAACTCTATGTAGTCAGTTGAAAGTCAATCGACGCTTCGGAGGAACATTTTGCCTCCATCTTCAGGGTTGGAGAGCAATTATGAAGCAAGAGGCCTGCATGAAGCAGGAAGGAAGCTTATTCATGGCGTTCTATCCCTGAAGGTAGAATTCTTCATAACGGCCGATGTCAAAACTGCAAATCTAACCCTCTCTACAAGTCTTCAGAAAACTTGAAATACACAATCGCTACGGGTCCTTGGATGCTAATGCAAGGCAAAAGAGAAGATCCAAATCCTGAGTGGAATACGCATATGTCATAAAATGCTGGAGCTGCTCCAGTCACCGTGTGCGTCCGACTTAACCCCAAGTCACACCATGAATTTGTATGTATGAAAGGCTTGGAGGTAGATTTATGTGCATTATTAGACGGAAATTATGATTTGACTGTTTTATGCTTTGTGTGTTGCTCTATTCTCCGTATAAAGCGAGTCGTATTTGCCTGTACATCAGAATATTTCGTCTCGCGAAAGACAAAACTCATTTCTGCGAGATCTGGTATGTAAGGTTCACACTAAAATTTGTCGAGTTGTTTGGTTCAGATCTCTACACTACAAACTTCACTTTAAAAGCAGCATTGGTGTGTATCAGGCTAACGAAAATTCATCTATTATAACAGAAAAATGTGCAGTAAGTGTATAAATTTTATTTAAAACACTTTTCTGCGCCAAATAATGTAAAACAATTTATTGTTTTCATATTCATAATTATTCTCATTAGTACTTCAAAGGAAGGACTTACGCTTCAAGATATGAACATTATGAAGTTCGCACTGTCTGGTGTAAAGAAAGCGCCAATTAATTTTAAAAGAGCAAGAGTATATGTGTCTTCGAACTTTAAGTAAGGAAAGAGAATTGTTTTTCCTTGGCACTACAGCCCCAGTGGGCCTAGGCCTACCTCCATGAACTTCTCCCTTCATTTCGGTTTTTCTAGATCTCACACACTCGGTAGGAGCCCTTGGGCGGGTGATCAGCTCGTCACAAGGCCTCTACCTGTACACAAACATAGAAAAACGCACACACACAAATTAAACATCCATGCCCTGAGTGGGATTCAAACCCACAATCCCGATTTCCAAGCAAGCGAAGACAGTACATGCCTTATACCGCTCGGCTACCGTGACCGGCAAGGAAAGAGATTTCCAAACAAAATATAAAAATTATTTCAATCACAGGAAAGAAATGTAATAAGGAAAAGAAGAAAACGAAGAATCAGAAGGGGAGGGTAAAGAAAGATAGAACGAAAGAAAGGACGGAATGTACAAAAAGTGCATCCAAGTAGACACCTGGAACATTTTGTTTGAATTCTGTTATGGAAATTTGTGCACGTCATATCTTATCATAGCTTTACAGTTCACCTCATCACTGTGACCAACCTGACGGCAAGACAAGAAGCAACATTTTTATTTCTTAGAATGCTGACGTTACTTCCACTTCCTTATAGTACAGCGAGTGTGAGGTCTGTTTGTTAGAACTTACACTTCCAAAAGCCTAGAAGATTTTGTATGAAACATCATTATTAATTTGTACTAAAATCTCTGAATCTCCATATAAATTGTCGATAACTTTCATATGTGTGTGACACTATCCAAAATGATAACTTTTCTGGCTATATCAGGTAATAAGGATAGCGGGTTTAATATTGAACTAATACTACTGGAAATATAACTTCAATTACTTTCAGGAACAATTTCAGTATGTGATTAAACCGAACCTTGTCTCTTTGGCGAGTCTTCTTAATTTGAATGGAAATGCCTGTTTTAAACCAGGTTTTCAGAGAATATGACACTGCAATTAATTGACCTTTTCTGGGAACTGGAACGCGTTACCAGGAACCTTCTTCAGAGTGTGTATAGCTGACTAAGTGTAAACCAGGCCTCCTTCTTCATACTACAAATTCGTTGGCCTACTGAAATTGGACTGGTACATTCTCTGAAGATTTGTTCCTAAACACTAAAAGATTTTTCAGATTTGTGAACGTATTGTTGATCGTTCTGGTAACGTGGAACCATTTACGTACCCGTGATCTTTCCACTAGTTCGTAACAACCTTCTGGAATACACATTGCCAGTATGTCTCTCCTTTCTTTTCCACAAGCTCAAAATTTTCACCCTGTGTTCAAGAAAGGCTGAAATGATACAGGAAACTTCAGTTCCACTTCCTCAGAATGCTCCACACAATTTACCAAACACTTCTATTTTATCCCCCACAGATATAAAAGAGTAAAATTCATTTATTAATGCGGGACAGATTTTTTTAATGTAAGCATTCTCTTCAAATGTTACATTTTCAGAGTCTTGTCCACTAGCATCATCTGACCACAAAGTCATGTGTCCAACTCCTTTATAAGTCCATAAGTGTCGGCAATAAAGTGAAACACTATTGTTTCTGTTGGAAAAAGATTGTGTTTTGTGTTTCCTTTAACTCAAAAGTGACCGCCTCTGTGGTCTAGTGGTCAGAGTTCGATTCCCGGCACTACCAGATTCTTTCTGAGAAGTATTGGGTCTGGAACGGGGTCCAATCAGCCTCGTGATGATAATTGAGGAGCTATTTTAAGGAAATAGTGGCTCCGGTCTAGAAAACCGAAATTAACGCCCGTGGGGATTCGTTGCGCTGACCATGTGACACCCTATATCCGCTGAAGTTGGCACTAACTTCGCCGACAAGTGGCGGTCGCTCGGTCGGTATAGTTCGCTTGCGGAATACAGGCCACGGAGTTTTTTTAACTCATCACCTCTCCCATTCCAAAACTTCATGCATGCAATTTTGATGTAATTTGCGTACATGAAGTTGCAAATCTCTTTTGCAGTAATTCCCTTTCAGTGCGTTTCTTCAGTCTTCGTCTCACGATCACCACATTTCCGACACGAATCAACTCAGGGCATCCAATATGATTGTAATATTATCTTTTAAAAACTTGATAAAAATAATGGAATGATATTTTGTGGTTCCCGACATAACTCATAGAACTTTCTTTCTGCAAGCATGGTAAGATATTCTCGGTCTGAGTTGTGGCGGTATAGGAGAAACATGACGGAGCCTATGCATGGTCTACTGCAGTAACAAACATGAGGCTACTCACAGCTTATAACACTTTGAAAGATCGTTGTTAAATCATTTTAAATATCGAATTGTGGCTTTAAATTAGGTTTAACCTATTGTTATACATACGACTGTATCATATGTATCACATGTACGATTTTTAGGTTGAGTTTTATTCTTGTTTTATTGTATTTTATTGGTAATTTCAACTTAAGTCTAGTCTTAAATTTTGTCTGGATTGTGAATCGAATAGAAACTAATTTGTATAAATCATTTAGAAGCAATTGAATTTTACCGTTTGTTCTGTAATATTATGTGAGAACTTGCAGCATCTGATGATGACCCATCGAGGTCGAAACATGTATTGCGTGTTATATAAATAAATAATAAAATATTGTTGCGTTGACGGTAAAAATTATATATATGTTCATTGTATATACGCAACAGGTTGCAATCCTTAAGAATAAAAAATTCATCTTTGGCTGACCATGTAGCACATACGAATATATGAGAAATGCATATAAAAGTACGGCCGGAAAACCTGAAGGAAAAAACATGCTGCAAGACCTAGGTGTAGATAAAAGAGATCTCACGCAAATAGCCTGTGATTGCGTGGATCGTATTCAGTTGGTTTCAGGATAGGACTAATGGTCTGGTCTTTCGTTTATAATAATGATTTTGAGGTTACATAAAAGGTGTGAAATTCCTTGAATAACTGAGTAACCATTATCTTATAAGGGAGATTGCTCAATGGAATTAGACTCTCAATGTGAGAAGGAAACGACTAAAGCTGCAAATCATTTCGTTCGCATGGAGGGAGCCTCTGTTAAACTGACAGCTTGTAGGCTGGCTGTTCATGATTTCTCAACA